CAAGACCTAAATAATATGCGGAAGTTCATCAGATTATCTCTCAGTGAGTCGCAGATTGCAGGTAACAAAGCCAAGTTATGATGAGCCTATACTTTAGTCTTCGTTGGTAGGTTATTTTAAAACTGAGTTATGTTACCCAAAGTTTATCCTAGGATTTGATAAAAACGAGTAAAGTTCTCGTTAGAGACTCCCTGTTCTCGACTCTCGTCTAAATGGGTACCGCAAATATGTGCACTCGTAACGTCCACTTAATTTGAGAACCACTGGCCATTCCCACCATTACGAGACTCTAGTCGCTTATTATCTGACTTTGCAATGTTGGTATTCTTTCAAGGTGGCCCGCTTCTATCTCCACCATCGCTGCTACCAAGTCACACCTTTACATACTGCCTCCTTTTTCATCAGCTCAAATGTCAACAATTTTTTTTGATTTTATGAAAAGAATAATCAATATTCAAAAGTGGCTCAGAAACTGTCATGACAAAGAGAGGAATTACGGCATTCTGTCATACAATATCTGCAGTGCAGTGCATGCACCTGATTTGTCCCCTCCTTTATTACATAAGTTACTTGAGATTTTTAATCCTTTGAGGAGGGGCGGACTGGCTAGAGAAGCTGGGCGGAGACTTCCTCTTAAGAATTTGCTGCGGGGTTATGTAGGATCCCTAATTTACTTAATTCAGACCTTAACCTAGGTCCCTCCTAGGCATTAAATTTTTTAAATATGTATCTAAGTGACCGAAAAGGGCCTTTAAAGACCTTATGGGTCTGTAGCTTTGTGTATCAATTTCAATAAACAGCCCGCAGGACCTTTCAAGATCTCCGTTTTCCCGTCACAAGGGAGTACGCAAACTTCGCGAAGGTATGCTCAGATATTTTCCAATGAAAGTTTGCAGCGAAAAAAAGTTAGTAAGTCGTTGCAGCGCATCGTATTGTGCCCCTGGCGGAAGATTTTAATTGTGTTCAAAATCTCAGAACAGAGATGAAAATGGTGGTATGAAGGTTCGCTTAACTAACGGAAGGCGAATGAGCATTCCAAGTTCACGGTTGGATGAAGCGGTCAGCTTGACTTTGGGCGCGGCGCTGCGCGACGCGCGCTGGCGGCACAAGTTCATTATTACCTGAAGCAGCAGCAGCCCTTGAGGAATAAGAGCGAGAGGATATGTTTTGAAACTTTGAGGTTGTTGACTTTCGATTCAGAGTTTTCAATCGCGATACGGATCGTGCATCCATTCGTCCCATTCCTGCTGCCAGTCTCAGATCGGGACGAGCCCCTACTCCCCCCTACACCACTACTGCCCCCTTCACCCTAGCCCCCTTACCTCCCTACTCCCCCCACCCTCCCCCGTGACCGATATGAAAGTATTCTGCAAGCGCCCTGCCTCTGGCCGACTTCCGCGCATCTGCATATTAAAATCAACCGTCAAAAGCACTGTTGCACGATGGAAGTATTTGACGCCTTACTGACCAAAGCAGAAGAGTCGGTTCTTGTTTAGCAACCATAAACCACAACTCTCTCCTCAATTTTCACCCCTCCCCCTTTGGCAGGTAACATGAACCTTCAAAACAATAACGGAAGGACCGACTGCCCTTCTTCCCAAATATTGTCGAAGGAAAATGTGAAAATCATGAAGACGAAATTGCTAAAATTGGTAAGACGTCCGTAAAGTGGATCCCACTGATGGTGGGAATGATTTTAGACTGAATAATTAAGCTTGCATAGGTACATTGAGTTTCATTAGGTAATTAGTTGCTGTATAAAGCATTTTCGGCGGAATAAAGCGCCTTCAATTGAGTGAGTATACTTCCCGCACATCCGGAGTGTTAAAATAATTGTATGTGTTAAGGAAGTGAACGATTCTGCCGTGTTGTCTAGAAGAGCAATGAGTGTTAAAAAGAAGTTTTGAGAGGGAAATTGCATCGCAGCGTTGCACAATTTAAAAATAAAAACACATAGAAAAATAAAATAAGAGAAAAGTAAAAGTAATAAGAAAAAATAGTATTATTATAAGGGAATAAACAGGTTCTCGAGAGCAGCTAAACTCGTTTTTCAATTTCCGAAAATCTAAAATTGTTAAAATTGCGCTTCTGTCTTCGGCTGCTTTCACGAACTTTTTGAAATTGCATGTAAGATGCAAAGTATTAATAGGTATGTCGATGGCGAAACTCCTAAGCCACGTATCACGGTTTGCGACGTTGTAGACTTCCTGTTTTACTTTATCATTTCATGAGAAAAAACTACTCAACGTCAAATCTTAAAAACTTCCGTGATTTTTCTTCTCTATACGAAGCAATCTCTGAGAAAACTTCAAGGAATGATGTTGACTTGTTCTCTCCTAAAAAACCCAAACAGCGGGGGAGATTTTTAAACACCGCGAAATGTGGCTATAGGAGTTTCACCAGTGCTTGGACCGAGTTTATCAGAAAGGAACCAACCCACATTTTCAAAAAAAATCGAGTTGGGAATGTTTTTGGGTTCCACTAGTCGGTAATTTCCACCTGCCAAAAACTGGAAGTCGAAAAAAATAAATTACCTAATTTGTGAAGAGAGGGGTTCAAGTTTATTTTCTGCATCGAGCCTTATGCAGGAATGAAACTTCAAACCTATTTGTCTCAGATTAAATTCAATGTGGGATGTTCCTTCCTGATGAACTCGGTCCAAATCATGCTGAATCTTTCTTGTAAAAGTAGCACCATGTGGAATGCTGTAGGTATCTTAACGGGTCTCTTTTTCCCGTGTGATTCAAAGTGAGATCTGGCAATGGTCAGGATGAAATATTTCTCAGATACCTTATGGAGCGTGTGATCAAACTCTCCGAGGATGTTTTCAAAAACAAACCATCCCGGAGGCTCTCTACGGGGGTAAGAATGTGTGCCGTAGCTACTCATTTCATGAAATATTAAACTAAATTTTGAATACATTAAAATCCGCGGTCCCGTTATAGTATGGGTCACTAAAGCCGAATCACTGGGCGGATCAACCACTGCCGATCGTGACGTTTAATCCTTCATCAGAGCAGAATGCCCGCGGAGCAGACGCTTTTCAAAATTGGGTCTTGAAAAATGACATCTCTGACTCATTTTATGAGCTGCAGCCAAGTTTTATCAAAAGATCTATCCCTCTCTAAAAGGCCGCTAACTACTTAACGGTGCTCTGCAAATTTCCGTTATTTTAATTGGAGAGGCAATTTTAAAAGAGGTAAATGACCAGACGAGTTAATGATTTGCGTTTATTTTTTTTTCTAATACATGCGTGGATCTGTATGTGCTCCATCTGTGATAACTGTTCAAGAATAACGGAAGGAACCATGGCCGACTTCTTGACCTCTTCCTCCTCTAAGGCATCCGTTAGACAATCCCCCATCCTCTAATTCTTTTTAAAAAAAAAAAAAAAAAAAAAAAAAAAAAAAAAAAAAAAAAAAAAACGGAAGAAGTCTGAAAAATAGCTAGTAAAAATCTTTTGGCGAGAAATATTATGATTTTTTTTTTAAAAAAAATAAATAAAACGGGGGCTGAAGTATACGAAGGAGTGGGTTCGATTCCACTCCTCCTTTGTGAGATCCCATAAGACAAGCCTGGATTCCCCCGCCCTTTCGCTTTAATTGCTTTCGTCTGAAGAGGGGAGGGAGGGATACTCAAAGATTTTCAAGAACTCAACCCAAAACTATCTCCACGGGAATTCATGCGACTTATATTTAAGTGAAATAAGTAATGATGTCGACGAAGAGCAAATTTAAATCCGGCCGAAAGCCAATTAAATAGACCGCGTCGCATCAGGGAGGTTGTGCTTGCGCATTGACGTGGGTTAATTGAATCGCTCGTTAAAGGGTCAACGCGACCAAGCCTTTTCAGCCTTATTTTCCCTCATTAATCCGGACTCTCGAAGCTTATGAGTTTTTGGCGCATTGGTCCTTTTACATTGAACGAATCAATCGCATTATTCTGTGCTACACCTCCCCACACGGTTGCAAGCTCCACCATAGAAGATCCTGAGACTCCACCCGCGGTGTCGTTAAATACATTTCTCGCTACATATTGCAACTCCCAAAAATCTCGCCCCTTACAGATGAAAATTGTACCGAAACGTTGAATCAGAGGTAAATCAATTACCCTATACGAGTGGACAGCACTGCCTTGCTAAGGAAGCACTTCGTATGAACATTCGAGAGTTGCCAAATTCCCTACGATAAAATGTTTATTTTGGAGGAAAATTGTGCATATTTTTCCTTAAAATTTTCGGACACTTTAGATCAAACTGCTAACAAAATTATGTAAGAAATTGGCAGAAACCTATTCAAAAATTTCCCCGAAAATTAGTGATTTGCGACAGGAAATTTGGCAACACCTGAGGGATCATACGGCATTTTTCCTTAGCACGGCAGAGCAGCCCTTTTCTATTTATTCCCAGTTATTCCCGCGCATGGGCCACCGCCGTGTTTCTACTCATGAGGAAATAATCACATTACGGTTGCATCAGCCCGTCGCTCGCTCTGTCACCTCAAAGAGAGTTCAATACAAGTAAAGTGCAAGCTACGTAAATAATGCTGATTTTGAATAAAAATCAACTCGGAGGAGGGCGAAATATTGAATGGACCTTTGTTGGAATACTGCGAAAGTGCTTACTCTTTCGTATGCCATAGACATATGCCATGGACATAGATGCCACATAGTGTTAAAAAGTCAGCACTTTTCCCAATTTTAACCCATATAAGATATCCAAATTGTATTGCAAAGTTTGGAGCCCTTGACCACTATACACGAGTAGGAGAAGAGAGAAGGGGGAGGGACCAGGATACAGACAAAAAAGTGCTGCATCACATCGGGATTGGGGCTGGATTTACGAATTTTCTCCTCGGTTCGGGACCAAAAAAGAGTTTCCTGCCCCCAACTCCCAATCTGAAAATTGCCGATATTCATTAAAAAAAAAAAAAAAAAAAAAAAAAAAAAAAAAAAAAAACTAGAAATGATTAATTTTGTTTTTGTTTGTTTGCATTCAATAGGAGGAGCAATGAATTTATTCTCGCTTGGATTGCTATGTTTTGTTGCAACTGTGCCAACCGTCTACTCAGCCTATAACATTACACACGGTCTGCCATGGACTCGATGGAACATATCTGGAAAAGATGAAGATTTGCCCCGGTTTTTTAGATTTTCCCCAGAGCAGTTCGTAAAGTTTCGGAAAATGCTACAAAGTGCAATCGGAAAATCTTCAGAGCTTCCTCATAACATAAAACTCGCAAAAAAAATCAAGGTATGGACTGAAAATACAAAAAAATGAGTTCTAATGATAAGGTTTATACGCATAACTGATGTTTCCACTTACATATCCAAATCATGCATGTAAAATTTCCGTATCTTCGGAAATTGACGCTACTGCACGTACCAACTTAAACTGGCAGACTAGTCCAGTGGTTTAAACACCTATGCTGGACCTCAAAGACCCCAACAGTTATTATTTTTAAAAGAAGCTTGACTGCTTCAAAAATACCAAGAATTTAATTTGAGTAATATGATTTCAACTATAGGTAATATCAAACTAGACCCTGAAATCGTGTAAAGGGGAAGTAAATATTTAGCCTGCAATGATGTGTGCCTTGGTAAAAATTGGCGATAGGAGCTGCGTTTCAAAATACCATAGGAATTCTTATAGCCGGCTAAAAGGCAATAGAAAATCATATAGCTGGCTGTAGAAAGCGGAGCAAATCATATAGCCGGGCTATACGAAGCGATAGAAAAGTATACCTACAGCCGGGCTACAGTTCCTATCGCCGGGCTTTACACTTTATCGCCATCGGCTATAAAAGGCTATAAGAAATTGTGTAGAAATTCGTGTGCTTTGGAAATCATTAAGTTTGATACGGAACCACCATAGTATTTACAAAACACACATTATATTTTCCTTTAGTACATATTTTTTTTCATCAATTAAAATGAGAATAATTCATACAGGATGTGCAAACATTTCAAAATCATGAGTTGAAACACGCTAACTCCGCAAGATTATATATTGGAGCCTAACACAAAGCGGAGCGGCGTGCTGCCAGCGATAAGCGCGCACCAGCGCCTACAAACCTAAGTGGATACTTCACGCATTGCGCAACGCGTGAAGTATCCCTGTTAGGTTTGTAGGCGCCAATGCTGCGTGTTTCGCGCTGGCTGCCCGCCTGCCGCGCCTTAGCGTGCCACGGCGCTTGAAGCAACTATTTCACACCGGACGTATTGCACAGCATCATACGAAACTGAAGGCGCTCCAACATATTAGGAATGGCAGGCATCCTTCAAAAGTACGGATATTTCCGCGCAAAATTAATCAAGATACTACGGCCCAAAAATAGAGCGGTAGTCCAAATCTCACAAAGTCCTAGCATCCGTAATTAGTAACATTTAGCATACACCTTATCGCCTGGCTGTTGCTCAATCGCCATTGGCTATGAAAGGCTATAAGAAATTGTGCAGCCGGCTATAGAATGCATTGAACATCTTACAGCCGGCTTTAGGTCTATGGTATTTTGGAACACAGATTCTACTGCCAATTTTTACCAGAGTGAGAGTAATTTTCCTCGCAAATGAGAAAATGTTTTTGCTTAGTGAATTCATGATGAATTTTTTCTCAGATCCTCCGTAGTCTTAAAAATGAATACTCTTGGGCTAATTGACATGAGTCAAGGGCTTACTTGCTTTTCTCAAATACTTTAAACTTTTAAAATCTGATTATAATTATTTTTGTTCAAATGAGAATTTAAGAAGCAATTACGATATAGTATCCAGCTACTCAGGAACCTCTCAACGCAATAAAGTAAATTTTACATTGAGTTTCGAATCCAAGACTTTTAGTGTGTTGAGGTCAATACGAGATGAGTATCAATTTTTTTTTAACCCGATAGATAACTCCTTTATTTATTTCTTTTCAATTCAGAAATTCCAAACAGTCTTGAACGGGCCTTTTCCATGCAACACATCAAATGCACGAAGTGCAGTCGTGCCAACAAGTGTTCATGAAGTCAGGCCTGGAGACATAGACGTAGTGGCTGCCATTGGAGATAGCTTAACTGCTGGAAATGGAGCGGCTGCTACCAACGTCTTCCATGTCGCAATTGAGAACAGGGGAATTTCCTGGTCCATCGGTAAGTTCAATTTGTTATCTCATACCTCAATTTTCTCTTCTAAGTTCGGAAAAGTATTTCACCAAATGTAAACTAATTGCAGGACTTTCTCGGAGAATACAAGAGACAAGATACTCTCCACTGACCTCTTGGCTAATCACCCTAATTTCGGCTGTTGACCTACCTACATGGTGGATGATGAGCTTCGGGTGACGTCATGAGCCAAGCAAGTTTCCCAAACTTCGGGCATTTTTGGCTTGTTTGCAAAACGAAAATGCTAACACGAAAACATTCTGTGGGACGTAATTTAACTACTTAGGTACTTGCAATGTAGCGTCATTCGTTATAATATTTTTTTACACCGTACCTTGAATTGATGGAGACGATGTGCAACTCCGTATGAGGCTCTTCGGTGGAGCACAGATTGGAGTAATTGCAATTACATTTTAACTATTGCTATTGCAGTGGAATGTTTTGCATGTTGCCTATCTAAAAATTGAAGGGGCTCTTCTCATTGGAATTTATTACGATAAAATAGGAAGAAGTTGTAATTCTATTTGCGCTGCAAATTGCCTATGTATCTGGTACACTGCTCTGCAAACTTAGTTAATTGAACGTTTAAACCCGGCTTCAATTGACTAAAGGATGTAAAAATATCACAATTTCGAGGTAAAAAATGAAAATACATTGCATTAAATTGCTACTTTATTTCAGTATTTTAGTTGTATCGCGCCACTTGGATGCTAAGCAAATTAAGTTTACCTGAATTTTACATTAGCCGCATGCATTAACGATCCGCTCATGAGAGACAAAAGGCTCTTGCATGTCGAAATGTAAATAAACTTATTTCACTAGACTCTGTTCAATTACTTTTCACAAATTGAGCATTATAATAAATGTGTCTAGCCAGTCCCTAATTAATCTGAAGGTCGAAGCTCATCGAGTGTCTGGATAGAGAGTGATTTCACGCAATGCAATAATGTGAGGAAATTGTTGGAAAATCACGGAAACCAGTCAAGGGTTTTTAGTCAGCAGGTATGACGTGGGCTCGCACTAGCAATGCCTAAAAGAACATGCAACTTCTGAGGAATATTATTTTGTCTATTGTGAAGCTTGGGAGTACATTAAGATGGATGCGATGTTTCTAGCTGTCGACACGATGATTATTATCGTTGGATGGAGTCAGTGGGGTGTCTGTAGCGTATCACGTCAAGGTCCGAGTTAAAGCTGGAGACATAACTATAGTTAGAGAGGCTTCACAATGCTATGAATGTGGGAGCTCATTAAGGTTGGTGCGGAGGGCAAAGGTTAAAAATGATATTTTTGTAGTCTCAAAAGGAATCCTCATTTGTACGTGTCTACTTTTAAACCGCTACAATTTTTCTTTTTTGCTTTTCCCTACTTCGAAACGGTCTCAAGAAGATAAAATCCGTCTCAAGGCAATTAAAATTAAATTGAGTCCAATTGTTGAAAAAACTTCTGAGTCATCAGTTTTTCCAACGATTATTTCTGATTGGGGGCTAGATTAAAACTGCCCACCTTTTTGCAAGGACTCACACGATTATTTGTTTGCTTTTAAATGAAACTGGTTCCGATTTCAAAAGTATGATCACTTGAATAGTTATTTTTGCATTCATTGCCTATTGCTCCTCTGAGATTTTATGCTCTCAAAAAAACTGACCGTATAGAGAAATGTTTTTTCCCTCTCCCGTAGTTATCGGATTTTTTTTCAAATGCGTGACCTAGAATCGGTTCCGTGGCAGCTATGACTATTATCAAAGAGATACAGATTTTTAAGAGCAGCCCAAGACAATGATAAAAGTGGAAAAGCAAGGATGAAAAAACATCATTAATTGTGTATTTTTAGCCTTGTTTTCCGTTTTTTCATCCTTGTTTTTGCACTATTATCACATCTATAAAGAAAGCATTATACGAGTTTTATTACAAAGAAAGGAGCTGATTGTTGCTGCGATTATTTTAGGCCGTAGGTTTGAGCTTATTTTCGACTTTTTTTTCCCAGTAAACTTTAAATACGATCTTTCATTTCGCGTGAATCGATTTCTTGTTTTGGCGATATAAGCGTTGATAATACTCAAAAACCGCGTCAAATGTCAAAATAACGCCCGGGTTACCTTGATCGTGCCGCTCCTCAAATATTTCGGTTATATTTCCCCCAACAAAAAATTGTGTCCGACTGCCACGCCCGAGGAAAAATTTAGCGAAATTTTAAGTCAATACGATGACACCGGTGGCACTTGAAGGACGTTATGAACCTTTCGCGGCGGATATTGGCGTTCCCCGGACGAAGGAACGTAACTTCATTCCGAGGTAGCAAAATTGACTCAAAAAATTTAATTTTTTGTACAAAAACGTACTCGTGCAATTTTATTGGAAAATTTATTTGATTTTTCCATGAGATCGAGAAAAAATCAGTGAAATTTTCAATCAGAAATGCGAAAAGATGCCAGAGATTCTTCTAGTAAAAATGGAATTTGTGAGGGGCAATCTGGCAACACTGAAATGAGGTTACGTTCTTTTGAGGTTTACGTTCTAATGAGGAGACGACGATATATTAGCCAAACTGTCATTCTAATCAAGGCACGATCGATGACTGAGTAATTCGTTTTTTGACGAAAAATTGACTCAAACAATATAATTTTTTTTTTACAAAAATGTACTTGTGCAATTTTATTGGAAAATTTCTATGATTTTTCCATGAGATCGAGGGAAAAATTAGTGAAATTTTCAGTCAGGAATGCGAAAAGATGCCAAAGATTCTTCTAGTGAAAATGGAATTTGTGAGGGGCAATCTGGCAACACTGAGAAAAAGTTACGTTCTTTTGTGAGGGGACGACGATATATTAGGCAAACGGTCATTCCAATCAAGGCACGATCGATGACTGAGTAATTCGTTTTTTGACGAAAAATTGACTCAAACCATATATTTTGTTTTTACAAAAATGTACTTGTGCAATTTTATTGGAAAATTTCCATGATTTTTCCATGAGATCGAGGGAAAAATTAGTGAAATTTTCAGTCAGGAATGCGAAAAGATGCCAAAGATTCTACTAGTAAAAATGGAATTTGTGAGGGGCAATCTGGCAACACTGAGAAAAAGTTACGTTCTTTTGTGAGGAGACGACGATATATTAGCCAAACGGTCATTCCAATCAAGGCACGATCGACGACTGAGTAATTCGTTTTTCTTTATTACTTTTTTCATCCTCAGGGGAATGAACTCAAGTCAAAGGTATGCGCCTGGATATGAATGCCAGTTTCTACAGGAAGGAATGTCGGATTCAAAATTTCCCCACTCAAAAATCTCAAGAAAATAAAAGCAGTTTTAAAAATCTGGGAAATTATTTGTGGAGACATGATAAACAGTCCCTCCTTCCCTTCCCTGTGAAATAGACACGTGTTGATAGTTCGGGAGATCTTGTTTTAGGTTTATGGAGAAATTCTGTGGAAATGTCTTTTTTTCCTGTGGAAATGTTCTTTTTTTCGGTGGAAATGTCATTTTTTTCTGTGAAACTATCCACCCTTTTAATCGAAATTTGCCACCTCTAACGTTAAACTGAACTTTAAAAAAAAAAACTGCTAATGCTAATGTGAACCAATTTACATATTTAATGCGGTTGATTTTATAATTTTGCAAGACGAAGACAGCATTCGTATTAATTCTCTATACGGTTAAAAGTTTTATAGAGCTCTGCTTTATTTGTAGCATTAGAGGATTCATTCTCACATTGTTGCTCACTCGTGCCGATCAGTTCGTCTTCAATATCTCGATAGGTAATGTGAGCAACTTGGGAGCAGTTATAGTTGCTCTTACCATTTCAACCACGTCCACTTGGTTTATTCATATTTCATAGCTATGTGGTTTAATAATGTATTTCCCGATATCACCTATCGTTTACTTGCTCTGTTATAATAATTATCCCATTTTCCCTACGACAGTTTAGATGACAGTGAATATTATACTTACACTCGAAACCCCGGGATCCCGCATATCTCTTTTAATGTCTCGCTGGCCCCAATGATATCTACGAATATGGGAGTTTTGATCCCTGGAGAGGCCCTTCCGTCGCTTTTGAGAATTTAGGAGCCTTGCTGACGTCACTGAATGTTTTAAACTTAAATCTTCTTAATAAGGAGAATCGCACATATCACTGAATATTTTCATTCTGGGACCTTGGAGCCCCTTTCATTCCCGCTGACGTTTGATCAATCTGAAAGTTGCAGTATTGATTCCTAGGGGTCCCTCGCCCTTCGTCGCGTCGCTTTTGAAGCCCCTGAGTTACCTAATGAAGCATGCCCGAGCACAAATGGACTGCATTTTGCAATTTGGAACTATAAATTCTGCCTCTTCTGGAAAAACACTCATGTGCATAGGGAAACTAATGGCACATACGTTGTTTTTAAACCGGGCTAGAATTTATAGTTCCAAATTGCAAAATGTAGTCCAAATGGCGCTCGTGATACTCTGGCCGGAAAGTGACAATGGGCCTGTTGCAAACTTTTGCTAGAGCAAAACTAAGAGTTGTTTCCTACAGATAATGCCTCAAAAATCACGATGAGCGCATCGGCAAAGTCTGAAATGCACTCATAACTTCACAATCTGCGTAAGAAATTTGCGGTTTTTTGAGCTTCCCGCTTCGAAAACGATACTACGGTACAGGTGAACATTTTGTTAGAGGAGTCGTTCCATTGGCGACAATACTCATCATGGCCGACGCCAGTCCGCCAAAACACGTGTGATGGGACGAGATAACACTTGAACAGGATTAAACCATATAACAATCGGCGTGTTTACGTTCATATTTTCCTCGCCCGCCTTAATTGACCTTGAACTCTCCTCGAATTACGCGAGGAACTGCGCAAGCGTCGGCCATGATGAATATTGCCGACGATGGAGCGACTCCTCTAACAAAATGTTCACCTGTGCAGTAGTATCGTTTTTGAAGCGGGAAGCTCAAAATAACGCAAATTTCTTACGCAGATTGTGAAGTTATGAGTGCATTTCAGACTTTGCCGATGCGCTCATCGTGATTTTTGAGGCATTATCTATAGGAAACAACTCTTCATTCTGCTCTAGCAAAAGTTTGCAACAGGCCCATTTCAGCGGCCGTATTCCATTTCTTCTAAAATAAGGTACTAAAGGCCCACTGAGAAAAAAGTTCGATTCATACGAAATATCCAAGGATACCGGTTCAGGGGACCGAAGTTTTTGGACCCAAGAACCACACCTCAGTTCAGGAGGCCGAAGTTTTTGTTGGCAATTCTGAAACTCTCATTATTTACCGAAGACTCAGGTTACCTGACCCGAGGCGCAGCTCTCACGACCAAGAAATCTAGTCACCTGGACAGGAACTTTGGTGTTCAATACAAATCGAAGTTTCTTCCTCTATGCATGGAGTTCAAGCTCGGCGAAAAAAAGCAGAAGAGGAAATAGTATGCTAATTTAATTTTGTCAGGTATTCTAACTTCCACGAACGGTCGCAAGAGAAGGTAGGATCGATCCTAACAATTTGTAAGAACAGCTGCTGCAGAACTTTTAAGCTTAGCGGTGGTTGTAACTTTAGCCAGCGGGCATGGAGTGCGACACCGCGGGAATAAGGAGACTTCCGTCCAGTTCCGCATGAGGTTGCGTATTACTGTCTCCGCTGGCTGAAGCTTTTATAAGCGAATCAAGGCTGCTCTGAAGTTATTTCCACGGTTGCAGAAACGCGAATTCGCTCGGAGTAGTCACTCGAGCGTAGGATCCGCAGCAGTGGCGTAGCGTGAATTGCGATATATCGATTGTAATACCATTTAAACCTATGAAAAAAGATCGATTATCAGGGTGTTTGTAGCGAACACCTTAGTAATCGATTCTTTACCATAGCTTCAAATGGCGAGATATCGATAATCGATCATTCACGCTACGCCACTGAGTAGGATCTACTGCTTTCAAGTCTTGGAGTATATTAATCCCAGTTCCACACCACGCGGGTGGAGTTAGCATCACGCTGGCTACAGCGTCGTCTGTCGCGGTCAAGTTCAAAACTTCAGGTCGGTTGCCAATTCAACATTCCTAGCTCCACCACGCGCTGGATTGCCGTGAAACGCAAATATTTCAGTCACGCTTCAGCATCAATCGATAGCTCATTCAGGAGTAAATCGCTTTCATTGAAAACTGCTCAACTCTGAAAAGAGAAAAGGGAATGGAGACTAAGGCGGCGCGTGGATGGGACGAGGAAAGGGGGGAGGGGCTGGATTTTTCTGGTGTTGAAAAGAGCTAATGGAGATGTTGCATGTGTGAGGAATTTGCGATTTGACTGTTGATTCTTGTGTAATTGTTCGCGAGAAACCCGATGGTGCTACTGGCTTTCTCTGAAATCAACTCCCAAGCTCAAAAAAAGCTCTCAAGTTGAGGCCAAATTGGAGGGGATATCTTACCCTACCCTGAGAGTCCACGTTTATATGAAGACAAACTCTCTATGCAAAGGTAGGGAGCAAATGCATTGAAAGGGCTGCCACTTTATTTGGGGACTCCAAAACTGAAAACATGGCAACTCTGCTAATGCATTTGCTCCCTATCTTTGCATGGAGAATTTGTCTTGATGTAGAGGTGGACTCTCAGGGTAGGGTGGGATATCCCCTCCATTTTGACCTCAACTCGGGAGCTTTTTTTGAGATTGGGAGATGATTTCAGAGAAAACCAGTGGGGCACCATCGTGTTTCTTGCGAACTTTTACATAAGAATTAACAGTCAAATCGCAAATTCCTCATACATGCAACATCTCCATTAGGCACTTTTCGAGGAAAACGAATTCGCGGTTATTCTCTCGCTGTAAGAATTTATAACATGACAATGTAACCATTGCCTTTTTCAGGAGGTCAGAAAAATTGGCGGGAACATATGACTATCCCGAACATACTTCGCGAATTCAACCAGAACTTGATTGGTTACTCGAAAGGCGATTCGATTGCTCAGGAGAAAAAAGCGCATTTCAACGTCGCGGAAATCGGCGCCATCAGCACGGATATGCCGTTCATGGCGCGAGTTCTAGTCAAGAGGATCCGTGCCGATCCGAATGTGGATTTCGAAAAGCATTGGAAGGTAAGAAACGCACACCAAAATAATTCGTCTTTACACGGAAAGTCCATCGAAAGCATTATTTTCATTACCAAGACACAGTGAATCGAGTCGATTAGAGAGGTCGGACATGAAATTATTGATTAAAACTACAAATTTTAATGTTTATTTCGTCACATTTTAAATTTTAAAGGGTAGGGGAGAGTGGGGTTATTTGAGTCATTTTAGGAAAACGCTCCTAAATGTTATTTAAAAATTATTTTTGTCTGATTTCATGATTTAATACGATCAAGTACATTCTCAGCTATTGAATTTATGCCGGAGCAAATTTTTTGTGCATAAAGTAAAGTCAAAATCTTTATTTGAGCAGGGTAACCTTTTTGACCCACTTAACCCCGACCATGGGGTTTAATGAGTCGCCCCTGGGGTTAACTGAGTCACCCACTGTAAATCATTCTGGACACATACTAATCAACTTAAAATAGATATTTGTGAAACCTCTATGAGATATATCTTTAAAATTATTAATGCTGCACTAATAAAAATAGAAAATAAATGAGAAATATTGAGGGAGAGGGGTGGGGTTCGGTTTCCTCTTTTTAGCCTTCAATGTACGGTTTGCAATGACTCGATGATCAATTTCTTTTTTTCTTTATTGGTAGATACCAATTTGCTTAATGAATGAGGTCACAGGTACCTAAGTAAGTGAATAGATGAATAAATAGATAAATTATTAATGATAACTTTTGGTTGGTATGAGAGGAGTGTTGAAAAAAAGGTGAGCTTAAGAATATTTAGGAATTCAGAATAGCAAGGCAATAAGAACCCTCTGTTATGGCAAAAATTATGAAATTTCTTTTAGAGGCTTAAATAATAATTTTGGGAAGTTTTGAATATTTTCTAGAAGACATTATTTTTTTTTCAACCCTCCATTTCATGACCACCAAAATAAATATTTAAGAGGCTGTTGTCTTCGCTAAAAAATAAGAACCAAAATTAAAGAAATAAATTTTAATGAACACAAATTAATCTAGAACCACAGGAACATGGGTAACCTTATAAAGAAGAATTAGGTAAATAATTTTCTTCTTTTTCGGTGGAAAAGATAGAAAATAATAATATGGTGATACCAACAATAAGATTCAAATTGCAAATATCACATGTTTAAGGAGAGTCTTATAGGTATTCGATACTTAAAATGCAATTGCACTTACCTATTTCCGTACATTTGGTCGTGTACATTCGCTGAGGAACAGTATTCTGCCCACTAAAAACTCAATAAAATTAGTAAATAGTGTAAAAATGCAGACAAATCTGCCAGTCTGCCAAATGCTATGCCTATGCAAGCCAAGTATTCAAAAACTACACGTTCAAGTTATGTGACTTCACACGGAGGCAACATAGTCTGCCTAACCAGCTGTTTGAAGGAACTTCTTCGGCCCACATGATTGTCTTCTTTTATTTCTATCAAACCAATAAGTGAATAAGTGATGCTTTATTCCAATACCAGTAAAAACACGTAATATCTTATCATACTTTTTGTGCATACGCATCATGTGCTTTTAAAGTAAAATTGATGATGTCAAACATTATTTAATACTTTTGGCAGCAAATTTTAAGCGTGCTGAGGCACTGAAAATGCCAAACACGCTCATAAAAGCAAGCCTGAACATAAACTGATATTTACTGGAGAGGGTAGATTTGATTTTTATGGCGCAACCGTATGTGGGGTCTTATTCTGATATTAATCCCAAGTCTCCATGTGTCTCAAGCATTAGTTACGAGTATACGAATAATTCAATTAGGATTTTTTTGAATCTTTCGAGTGTATAGCATTTTCCAGTGCGCTTGTTTTTAAGTGCACAGACTTGACTTATTTGGCTTAAATGCATAGTCTAGGCCTCACTCATTTAAAAATGACTGTCCCTTAGCCAAGAAAACTTGTTCTGAGTAAAAACACAGCAAAAAACATGTGATAGAAAAAAGAAGAGCTCCTGTCAGAAATATATTTGACTTTTCAATTTTATTTGAACCAATTGAATTTGAATCAATTGTGTGCAAAATGAGAATTTCAAATTATTTTTAATTATTTTTAATTTCCTCAAATCGAAGCACAGTTCTTAAGGTTGACAACTCAACTTTTCTATTTTTTTTTTACAGCTTGTTACATTGATGATCGGCTCGAATGATTTTTGCACTGATCTATGTTATAGTCCTGATATATGGGCAACACCTGAGAAACATAAAAAGGACATCGAAAACGTTTTGGATTACTTGCAGGCAAATTTGCCGAGAACTATTGTTAACTTTGTGGTTGCCCCAAGTAAGTATTGGGCTGTGCCTCCCATAAAATCTACTGTTGCATGTAAGGTGTCTCAGACCACCCGTTCCAGGTTTTTTTCTCAGTTATATTAGGTTGGAGAGTGCGAGGGTGAATAGAGTATCGACCCTGAGGGATTCCGAATTTCACGGCCCTGGAGCTTCCCTCCCTGAAGGTAAAAAGAGGGGGGAGGGACTTGAGTAATCCTGTTGATTGAAAGGGGGGGGGTTGTGTTGTCTAGACTATTGGGGAAAATGATGGACTAAATTATAGGGTTTCTCGTGGGTTGCCTTTTAAGTTAATCTGTTACTTCTTTGACCATTTCAACCACCTGTTTTCACCAAGGATGTCTTCATTTTTCCTTCTTCTCCTTCATCTATTTTAGCTTCATCTCTCAATTTCAATAATGATTTCGCAGGTAACTAGATTCTCGAAACTTATAAATCTATAACCGTGAATGAGTCACTAGGAATAGCAGATACAGGCTAACTAAGACAGATTGTAGCCTCCTGGTGAAAGGTATGTAAAATCTAAATTATTTAAAACCATCTGTGTTGAGGTTGAGAGCTCTCAAGTGGGAAAAGGAGAACTTTAATTGGGTCGATACGCTTTTTCCGGTTCACAAATGATTACTTTTAGATGGATATGGAGTTCACAGGCTCTTTTGATGGACTAAAATTTCTTTCATTGTAAAGCCATTTTATGTCATTTTTTATATCCTAAATGGACCACTAGACAAGGTACGAATTTAAGCAATCTGATACATGTTTCTTAATCAGAATTTCACGTAGAACACGATTCACACAACGGGAATTACTGAAACTAACACCTAACAAAGATATTAACGTTTTTATTTCACATTGGCTACAAGGAATTCGAACTGCCCGCTCACAAGAAACTCAAAGCTCTACGCGAGTCAAATCGCGCACTACAACGGTTTCTGCAAGCCTCTCAATCGAGCAATATGTTCATTTTCCACCATGTGTTGTTCAAACTATAAGAAATTTGCTACAGCTGAGCCGAAGCGTCAAGACTGAGGTTGCCAGATTTTTACATCGCAGAGACTGTCGTGATAACGTTTAGCGCGCGATGTGAATCACGTAGAGCATTGAGTTTTAATGAGCGGGTGGTTTGAATTCACGCATCAAGAATCATCAAATATCTTCGTAAGGAGTGGATTTCGGTAATTTTCGTTGTGTGCATCGTGTTTGACGTGAAATTTTAGTTACGAAACATGTATCAGAATGCTGAAATTATCGTACCTTGTCTAGTGGTCCATTAAGAAAGGGAAGAAGTATATTTGTTCTAGGAAAACAAAATATTGATTTAAATAAACTTCTTTTTCAGACCTGCAAATTATCACTGAGTTCTCTGCTAGCCCCCCTTTGTGTTATTTCACCCACGTCGCGGAATGCTACTGCCTATTTGCTGCCCAGTACAAACATAATTTAAGAAATTACATTAAAGTGATGGAGCTATGGCAGAACGCCGAAGAAGAGCTGGTGAGTGTTCACATTTTCATTTCGACGTGGAAAATATATAATTTTTATTTTTTAAAAAAAAAAAAAAAAATACTCACTTCCATCAAATGCTTTACACTCGTCACTTACTCTATTCGTGCATCGAAATGTAATTCTACTGACGGTTTGTAAGCATTAATCATTAAAAAAAGTCACCTGAAATTGTTTAAGAAACGATTACCGTAATTTTGGATTGACTTATTCTTAATGAGTGGCACCATGAACTTTGCATGCGGGTGAGAACTTTTTCGTTACCAGAACTGCATTCCCTCAAATCTAAACAGAAGAACAATGTAGCAGTCCCCTGGTAATAATTGGAGGTAAGAGCTGCGTTTCAAAATACCATAGGAATTCTTATAGCCGGCTCAAGAAGGCTACAGAACATTATATAGCTGTAGAACGCGGAGAAAATCATACGGCCGGGCTATAGTTCCTATGGCCGGGCTTTAGTTTGATACATTATATTTTCCTTCAATACATATTTTTTTTCATCAATTAAAATGAGAATAATCCATACAGGATGTGCAAACATTTCAAAATCATGAGTTGAATAACGCTGACTCCGCCAGAGAGCCTCCTAACACAAAGTGGAGCGGCGACGCACTGGCGCCTACAAACCTAACTGGGATACTTCACGCATTGCGCAACGCGTGAAGTATCCCTGTTAGGTTTGTAGGCGCCAATGCTGCGTGTTTCGCGCTGGCTGCCCGCCTGCCGCGCCTTAGCGTGCCACGGCGCTTGAAGCAACTATTTCACACCGAACGTATTGCACAGCATCATACGAAACTGAAGGCGCTCTAATATATTAGTAATGACAGGCATCCATCAAAAGTACGGAGCTTTCCTCGCAAAATAAATCAAGATACTACGGCCCAAAAAGAGAGCAGTATTCCAAAAACTCACTAAGTCCTAGCATCCGTAATTAGTAACGTTTAGCATACACTTTACCGCCTGGCTGTTGCTTAATCGCCATCGGCTATAAAAGGCTATAAGAAATTGTGTAGCCGGCTATAGAAGCTATTGGAAATCTTACAGCCGGCTGTAGGTCTATGGTATTTTGGAACACAGATTCTACTGCCAATTTTTACCAGGGTCACTAATAATTAGTGTCAGGACAATTGGTTGCGAAATCAACTCATATTTTGTTGCCTATCAATGCAATTCTCCATATTTTGCAATATCGTTGTAACCTTGGTGTTCACAACTATATGGATCATTGAAAGTCTAATGAAAGCTCAGATCTTTTAAATCTGTCACTGAAATCATCCGTTACGTACGTTACGTTCCATACTAACGTACTATCTCAAAGTTTTTCACGTGCCTTGCATTCTTTTTTTCGTTTCTATCATTTCATTTATCATCATTTTTCTTGAAAATATCGTAGAACTGGGGAAAGGAAAGGAGAGACAAAAGTCACATCAGTCTGGATGCATCAATCCTCAGTTGGCTCATTAGTTATCAAGTAAATATCTGTTGAATGGTGGAATTTTATGATGTGACATTTGTCTCTTCTTCTCTTTCCCCAGTTCTAGGAACCTTTAAAACCATTTTAAAGTAGTCGTGAATGTCGTTGAATGCCATTTTAAATTGTTGTCGTTTTTCTTTCAACAGGTGAACCTACCAAAATACAAGACTAGTGATGATTTTGCAGTCGTACTTCAAACCTTCACACGAGATCTCACGTTTCCAACGAAGAAAACGAGGTTTGGAAATACAATTACAGACTGGTCTTATCTTTCTGCTGACTGCTTCCATTTTAGTCAAAAAGGATACCAAAGAGGTAAGAAGTAATTGATTTTCGGGACTAAAAAAGCAAAATAATTTGATATTGATGAATACGGTTCATTTATCTTTCAGTGTATCTGTGGAAGCTACCTACTAAGTACTCGTAGTTCCCAAGCTAATCTTTTCTCTGCGAATTCCTTAAAAGCTCCGACGAACGGCCGGCTCTAGGAACACCACACCCGCGGATGACTGTACTAATCCTCAGGTTCCCACCATTCTTTCAGTACTATTCACGAAGATCTCTCACAGAAAACGTTGCTTGGACGGTTTTTCTCGAAAGATATCTAGCAGCATTAGTTGTTGCCTTTAATTGGTTAATTTATTTCTAGGTACGAGGAATCTTACTACGATATTTTTTTTTCTTATTATGAAGAATTTTTTATCGATTTGTTCGAATATTTCAGGGAATCTCCTCCATCGCAACTAGCATATTACCTGAAAATTTTGAGAAATTTGGTAATTATCGTTCTTTTGTGGAAAAATAAACCACACTCCGCGAAGCGGTTGAAGGGGTTAGAGGGCGCGGTTAGTTGTTCAATACAATTTTAAAGCAGCTGATGTCATTAGCTCTCTTCCCAGAAATACCGCCCATTTATACTCATTTGTTAACAAGTGATGATGGTAAATTAGCGCCCTAGCGCGCCGTAGTAGCGAATCGTACATTACTTGAAGGTCAATTAAATACTCTAAGTGTTTAAGCTAAATCTTATCTTTCTTAATGGTTTTGTTATCGAAAACTTGCAGGTGCTCTTTTTTTCCCCCCTGACTGAGAATGGTACCCTTTTTACACATCTCATAAAATAGTCAATGCTAGTGCAGGAGCCTGTGTTGTACTTACTGAAAAGCCTCCTTGCCCCTTAGTCTCATTTACATCAAATGTATTCTTTCTGTGAGAAATGGTGGATTCCAATAACAGCAAAATTCCTCCCCCACACGGTGAGAGAAATTTCGTGAATCGGACCTAAGTTGAGGTCATATGGATCTCTGAAATTTTCGGATGCGTGAGCAGAAAACTTCAGAGATCAATGTGACCTCAACCTCGGGTCTAATGCATGAAATTTTTTTCTCCGTGTAAAATGATCTCACTTTACCATCTTGTTTTACTTTGTTTCTTGATTGTATAGTTTGTATTGTTTTATTGCGTTTATTATTCTGTTTTATATTATATTTGGATCACTCAAGGTCTAATCTCCGTTTTTTTTTGCTTTTTTTTTTAGCGGCAAATGCTCTTTGGAATAATATGTTGGAGCCAGTCGGGAATAAATCAAGAGATTGGAAACTCGAGATGACCCGATTTTTATGCCCAACGGAGGAGTCTCCGTATATTTGCACGTGGAAAAACTGTAAATAATTACCACAACTTCATCTCTGGCACCTGATCTTCGATGGATTATTCTAGTCAAAAACTGTCTTATATTTGACGTTTTGTATATTGTTCAATTTTATACTTACTTAGAAATTCACTTTTCCAACATGGAAAAAAAAACGCTTCTCCTTCCGCCCATTGCGAATCTCAAACTCAGATGGTCTGCATGAGCACTGAAAACAAAATCTCGGTGTATTTACTAAGAAAAGGGTAAAATTACCAAGAATTCAGGGCTCTATTTGATCCCAGTTTTTTCTTGGTAAAATTACCACTTATGGAATTGGTAATTTTACCGAGAAATCTCGGTAAAATTATCGAACTTTCTCGGTAATTTTACTGGACCTTGGTAAAAACGCCAATATTTTTTTATCGACTATGGTAGAATTACCGAGATAAAATGGCAAAGTTACCGGGAATTGATTACCGATAAATGTGGTATTCTTACCTGAAAAAACAGTAAAAATACCGGTTTTTAGGTAAGTTTACCAGTCTGTCTTGGTAAAATTACCAATAATTGGTAAAAAAGTGAGATGGTAAAGGTACCAACGGACCTTGGTTAAAACGCTGAGAATTTTTTTTCCGTGAGCGAGAGGCATTGTGCTTTTCTTGCGTAAATCCTCAGTCAGCAAAACTCGTATACATTCGTTACAGACTCTAAATAAGATCTAGAACAGAAAGTTTAACCTTAAATTTTTATTATCAATTAAGGGTATGTGCCATAAGACCTCATATAATTGTTCAACTTGACGTGTTTGAAAATTACACTGAGGATAGGTCAGATTTTCAAGTACTAAATTCAACCCAGTGCATACGATAGAAAATGTCGGAATGAAAGACACTTTGAACGAATCTCGGATGAGCGGTAAAAAGGACCACCTTTCGCAATAAGGAACTACTATTTCTGGCTCGTTTTCAAGAAACATGCGTGCCAATAATATACCCGTGCAGATATGTGATTTTATGGGTGAGCCAGAAATAGTGATTTCTTACTGCAAAATGTGGTCCAAACACGAGTAAAACTGTTAGCGCTTATTGGCCAGCTAAACTTTATCAGCAACTAATTATATATGAAGTCGCTCCTACAACGCACTCTGGCGTTCTGCGACACCCAAACGCCACATAATGCCTATCTTCCCAGAGGTTATCGGGCGACTGACACGTCGCAGCATCTCATTCGTCAACGCTCTGCCGCCACCCCTCTACGGGACGTCCCCGTAACTAATTCGCAACTAATGTGTTCTTAAATGGATGAATGGTTCAAAACTTCCTGTTATATACGAATTTTACCCAGACTTTGTAACTTGGTGATCTATCACTTGGAAGAAGTCGGTGATATTTAACTTGTTATCAAAAGTCTTTTAAAGTCTAATTCTTGCAAGTTATCTATGTACTTGATATACTAGATATGCGATAAAAGGTCAAGTTCAATGAAGAAAACAGAAAGAAAAAATACATTTATTGGATTCAAAGAACCAAAAAATATCGCCCGAGTTTCTTTTTTGTGGTTACTGAAATTTTTCAAACTGAATTCTTAAAACCACATTACTGAGTAACATGCATCGAATTGTATAATAGTATTCGAGCTCAAAAACTGGCTGGACGCCAATTTTTAAAATAAAATCTAGACAAATTCTCTCCCTTATACCTGCTGCCATATACCTTTATCTGTACCTATCACGTATCTTGCCACACAAACTATTGTTCCTTCTCTAAAAGTGTTTTATCTGTTTTCATTGTTTGCTCATTTTATATTAAGTAGGTATGTGTGAAAGAATTTATTAAATTAATTAGCTTAGTCATTACTTTGTCCTCTCATTCATGGGTATTCCAGCTTGGTCTCTGAGCTCTTGCGTACATTTTTGCAGTCATGAATGCATAGCTTAAGTGCGCTCCAGCTAGAATTGTATATAGCGAATGGGTGGTTTTTATACGAGGATTAAAAATAAACAAGTGGTAGGGAATATAACAAAAGAATATGAAGTATGCAAGACGATTATCCGGGTATCGGAACTTGGCTGTTTTGAAAACGCCTTCAAATGCGGCGTGATACCTTACGCATTCCGGAGAGTTCAAATAGTTGTATCATTGCACCGTAAAAATGTGACGGGAGATTAAAATGGAAATAGCCTCCATGCACGCTTGGCTTGTCGATTTCCTTCGAATTTTTTTCAGTCCTGAATGCATAGCTGAAGTGCGCTCCAGTTAATATTGTATTTAGCAAATGGGTGGTTTTTATACGAGGATTAAAAATAAACAAGTGGTACGGAATATAACAAAAGCATACGAACTGTGCAAAACGATAATCCGGATATGGGAACTTGGCTGTTTTGAAAACGCCTTCAAATACGGCGTGATACCTCACGCATTCCGGAGAGTTCAAATAGTTGTATCATTGCGCCTTAGAAATGCGCAATCGAAATAGCCTTATACACGCTGGCTTTGTCTATTACCTTTGACATTTTTGCAGTAGTGAATGCATAGCTAAAATGCGCTCTAGCCAGAAGTGTATTCAGCAAATGAGTAGTTTTTATAGGAGGATTGAAAACAAACAAATGGTAGGAAATATAACATAATAATAGGAACTATGCAAAACAATAATCCGGATAGCGGGACTTGGCTGTTTTGAAAACGCCTTAAAATGTGGCGTGATACCTCACGCATTCCGGAGAGTTCAAATAGTTGTATCATTGCGCCTTAGGAATGCGACGGAAGATAACAAAATTGCGTAACCTTAGAAAAGTATTTACAACATATAGGCATTGTGTTATGCTGAAGTGCTACTTGTATACATTTTTAGTGTGATACACACATTAATTAAAAAATACAGTTGACAATCACTTACGATGCTAACAACTCAACATGATAAGTTTCGAGCTATGCTAGGTGTTTGAGGAGCTTTTCATTAAAACCCTCTTCCTCACTTGCATCTTTTAATTGTGCCGATAATATTTCGGAATTCAAGGGTGTTAGGCATTCAAGCCTCAACTCTGACCAGTACATGTACAAATATAACTACGCAATTTTTATAAAGTGCTTTTTCTACTCTTTGAAGCCGAAATGATCAAAGCAACCAACTGGTGTAGCGATTTTTGATGGGTATGAATTCTATCATACGTCCCATTCCATTAAGTAAAGTTTTCACATCAAAATATGATCGTACAGCAATCACTGCCGGAATTGGAAATATTCTGAAAGGAATTAAAACGCAAATTTACTCCATTGGACCTTTTTTTGTGTGTCATGACCCTTCCGAGTTTTTTTGAAGCGTGTGGTTTTCTGAACAATCCTTGTGCCCACTTTTATAGTCCTTATAACCAACCGTGTATCAACTTTTGAGATTTTCCTTCATTGCTGTTGAATATACCCGCCGTTTTTATTTAAATTTATCATAACCGTCACATTGTATAAGGTATTTTGTGTGTAAAAAGAAGGGAAGGAAAATGCCTAATAAAGAAAGGTGCCTGCATTATTTTAAACCTGATACTATGCTTGGCTACGAAACAAACTCCGACATAAAATAATCAAGTTGAATTTCTAGTTTTTTGGAGGTCAAATCGGACAGTTTTTGTAGAATCGCTCATCAGCATTTCATGCCGACCAGCGACACCGTACTGTATTTGAATCAGTGAGTTCGAAAACACACCAACTCGGAAAAAAAAATTGTTCAGGAAACACCGGCGAAGAAGTTAGTTTAAGAAAAACCTTTTTGATGCCGAAGGACAAGCACTTAGAGACTTTGTAAAGCACCAAGTTGAAATCGATACACCATGTTTGATGGCAGTGAATTGAGCGTTTAAGAATTTCCGAGTTGGTGTGCTTTCGTTCTCACCGACTTTCAGATACTGATTTTTTATAGTCTGCCCTGAAAAATTTATATTTTTCGACCTGAATAACGCTGGAATATTTATATAACTTGTTGGTACAAGGTATACTGAACCGAAAAAAAGAAAACAGCAAAATCGGATAATCACCCGTTTTCCTTGAAATGGCCAAAAATTGGTATTTCCAATGAAATACTTCGATTTTTCCCTTTTCCCGTCGATGTTTCGAGCACTTCCGATTGCAATTTCGAAATTTCCTTTGCATGCAGATGTTTCTATCCATAAGTGTTACTAAACTGTAAGGAAGTGAAAATCGAAAAAAACCCGAGTTGGTGTGTTTTGGAACTCTTTGATTCATTTGGCGCAGTGCGTGAAGTATTCCTACACTCTTGTGGGCGCTAATATGCTCTCCGCGCCGACCGGCGCGGCGCGGCGCGGCGCCCGCACTGTGTTTGGCGCAATGCGTGAAGTATTCCTGAACTCTTGTAGGCGCTAATGTGCGTTGTCCGCCGACCGGTGCGGCGGCCGCACTATATTTGGGGAGATTAGAAACGGTGTTACAGAGGCAGATTGAAAGAAACTGTAGAAACAGAGGGGAGATAATAAGTTTGAAGAATACTTGGGTAAAATTGATGAGACGGTTCGTGCAGAGTGCAGACAAAAATATTCAAATAAAGAGAGTATCGGAACTTAAATGAAAACAAAAAGCAGAAGCTAATGCGAGTAAATTTTCACCCGTGAAAAAGAGACTTACATCAAAGGAAAATTTTAACGTTAAGAGATGAGAGCGTTTATTTTGCTGGTAAAAAGTTAGACTGAAGAATGTGACGAGGAAATCAGGACAGATCTGCGCAAAAAAGTAAATAAGTTCTCACCATAGAATGTAAAAGTAAACTTTTCAAAAATTGGAAAATCTTGCGAGGAGGATAGAGCCGTATAGACATTTGGAGGCTGCCAAATTCCATCCGACGAGGTATTCATCTCCGAAAAATGTTACAAATGTATTTTTCTGAAATTTTTAGACACAGTGGATGAAAGTTTGAATAAAGTCCTGCAAGGAATTCAAGGAGAAATGTTTCGAATGGTTAAAAAAATACGCTGGATGTAGTATCAGAATACAATACAAATAGTACGGAGACTCTACCCTATGACCCGGGAAAAATTCCCTTCCACTACTCCATAGCTGATTCTGGAGGAAAATCAATGGAGAATTTGCATGAAAACTTTTTATTGCTCCATCTGAAAGTGCTTAAAGAGCTGATTTCACGGTATTTCTTATACTTTTTTTCTGATATGAGAAATAGTATAAAAATAGATTTAAAAGTGAGAAAATGCACCGCCTAGTGACGTCATCTTG